CTGCTGACCAATTTACTGTTCAGCTTAATCAGCCAGGACCTGCCTGCACACAGGTTGCTTGATTTTGCCAATATTTAGCAGCTTAATATGTCTGCCTGAACTACTTACACATTAGGTGGAGATGTAGTTCAGCCAAAGGCACTGGCTGTGTGGGACACTGGGATGGAAAGGACCCAAAGTAGATTGCCTCAAGCTCCTGTGGCAGCTCTTGTAGACAGAGATGGATTTTGATCTGAAGAAAGCTAAAGTGGTTTTGTTTAACCAACTGTTTTTCTCACTTTTATGTTACCTAGCCTATAATATCACATTTTGGTTTGATTTTCCTCAGTGCAAATGCTAAAGTCTTTAACCACCAACCAGGAAATTTTGTGGAGGGTATTTGCAGGTTAAAAAAGCCCCAGATCTCATTGTTTCTACATCCTTTATCCACCATGCATTCAGTCCTAAGAAAAAATCAGTATTATAGTTTTATAGTCTGCATCATTATCCTGCTTCCTTTGATCTTAGCACTATTTTGGCTATTCAACTGGATTAAAAATTCTAGAAAAGCAGCCATATACATCTCAGTTAAATGTGAGTATTGTATGTAACTGAGAGGGATGTTTGACCATGTGTTGTGTATGAGATAGGATTGGGATGATGTATATTACTTATATTATTTGTAGACTCTTGGCATTGTGAGATTATTATAAAATACAAAAATTGGAGTTTGTCTCCATGCTTTGTAATGAACAAAACATCAAAGGGGAAAATCCCTTACATTGCCTATTAACAAGATCCATCTGAATGGGCGGTGCTTCTTTTTACTGAGATCCTGTTTCCATTGGTGCTTATTTAGCACCTTTTTGTTTAACTAGATAACTTCTTCAGTGCATGTTCTATATCCCTTATTTAACAGCATATCTGGTTTTTGGATGGTCTTTTAAACCAGAAGGCATTTAGCTTGTCCAGTTTGGGAGGCTATGAAATGGGGATGGGATGTACCATCCAGCTGGGTTTCTTTCTGAGGCTGCTGGGATTTCAGAAAGGAATTGATATACCCAAATTCAAGTTTGCTTGTGTCAAGTTAGTGAATAACAGAGATGTCTCCCTTGGATTTTATTCCTTTTGAATTTTTAAGCACTTACACAGCCAAATATAAGTGCATGTGAAGTGCAGCCCTGTTCTGTGTGGTAGATGAAAAGCTGTTTGGGTGAGTGTATCACAGCTCAGTCAGCTGGGCCCCTGCTGGGCTTGGCTTTGTTGTTTTAAAAAGGGCTACATCCTAAAGTACCTCATTCTGTTAAATATTAGTAAGCCAGTACAGTGTATTTTGATCACTAAAGTTGACTGAAGATACATTATCTGCCTTGTGTGTTGTGTTTTGTAAATAGCTGGTTCCTGTGGGAACCACCTAAAAAGGTAGAGGCTCCTTGGTAGCACAGAAATTCTTGAAGCAAAGCTTGATCATAGCAAGTTCTAATACAAGTCTTCGAAGAAGGATAAAAGAGGAGGAAAAGATTCAGACAGCTTTTTCCTTTTGTAAACTCACTGCTTTACAGGGGAAAAAAGTGACTGGAAATAGCCTGTCTCGTCCCAAATGAAAGGTTGTGGATTAAGGCATTGCATTAGTGAGACAGCTGCACGAATGTGAAACAGAAAGTCCTCCAGCTTCAGCCTCTATGGGTTTGTTTGGTTAGGTCTAATTTTGGAAGTCATTATAGCAAAGGTAAATGACTTGCACAGGAGACTACTGTAAACAAAGGACTCGATACATTTACTTTGGCAGGAGCCTTGAGGAGTTTCGGGCCTTTCAGTGCCTCCTTTATGCAGCCTCCTGCCCTGCTCTCACTGCCCGGCTCTGTGCAGGCAGCTCTCACTTCCCTCCCTTCCTCTCCCACAGCTTCTTTTTCCCCTGACAGGTTGGATTTAGGGGTGGCAGCACCTGCTCTGAATTGCTGGTGTGTAGCTGTACAATACCTTTATGTTTGTAGTATCTGTCCCTTGATTTCTAAAGCTGCTGTGTTTTGCTCAAGTAAGAATCTGTTCCCTCTCTCCCAGTCTGGTACTGGAATGCAGTTTCAAACACTTCACTTTTAATTGTGGCTCCTCACTGGTTACTTTTTGTATGTTTTATCATTTAATAACTTTACATTTACAGATTCTAATACTGATGCTTAGCTGAGTTTTCTAGTTTTTCAGTGAAGATTAAACCATGAGAATTATAATTCCCTTCCCAGGTCTCTACCCATGTGGTTCAGTGTCCGTTCCACATACTTTTTCCCACTTGTGTAAGTGGAGAGGCAAATTCCGTGATGCCAAAAGAGTGGCTAGGCAGATCTTGCTCCTTCCCTTTTACAAAGCTCCTTGTGAACACATTGTATGGGTGTAGCAGAGCTTGCATTGATCTCTAAAGCTGAAGTATGAAGTAGAGGGACAGAGTCAGAATCCTCTCCTTGTGCACCCATCTTCCAGCACCTCTTTTCCACACTCCCTGGCTGTCGTGTGACCCAGGAGACTCCCCTTTGCAATCCCTGTCGTGGGTGACTTCTGACTGCTGGGAAGTGCTTTCAGTCAAGTCAGTTCAGGTGTACTTTGACTCCTCAAACATGTGGGACAGACTCTAGTATTAATTATTTTGTTCAAAATACAAGATGATTATGCTGCATCTTCAAGAAGGCCATCCCTGCACGTTCTCACACACTTCATTGCCATGTGAGATAGCAGTCATTCTGCTGGTCATTCTGATATAAAACCAGTACCAAAGGAATCTATAGGCTCATTTCTTCTGCTGCTGTAGAAGAGAGGATTATCTTTATCTCTGAAATGGCTCCCTCACTGCTTATTAACTAGAAATACAGTAATTGAGAAGCTGCTAGGAAAAGATTTTGTGTGATAGTAGCCCTGATCTCTAAAATGGAGTGTAGTAATTAGACACTGAAATGTTTGACTAGTATGACTGATATAAACAAGTCAACCATGGAATGGAGTGCCTGGAAAGAGGTTTTATTTCAAGTTAACTTCATCTCATGCTGTATATACATCATGTTTGTGTGCTTTCAGGTCAGGCAACTGATTCTGAAGAAAAAGATGTGGGTTTAGCTGCATGAACTCTTTTGAACTTCCTCCCACCTGCAGGGTCTTTGTATGTCAGGAGAGGCAAACAGCTTTGGTTTACTGGTATTTTTCTCCAATGTCTTAAAAAAAACCCATAAAGATAATACAGAATTCTCTTAAAGAGAAACATCCTGCACTCTGAATTATTGGGAAAAAATGCAAAAGATACACCTTTTGAAAAAGATAGCACGATGTTTTGATTTTACAATAAGTAATTAATGAAGTATAAAATTGATAAAATACAGACATTTTTTCCTGTGAGGAGGTCATGTAATGTCATCACATCCTTCTGTATAAGCTTAATGGTGAAGTTTGGTTATTGCCCCCAATATTTGAATATAAACCAAAGTCAAGTACAAAAATTCGGGCTATATAGACTTGTTTTAAATTTCCAGTGTGAGATTCAGCCTGGAATTTCAGGCTCAGTGGTGTGTGACTGTCAACAGAATAGAAATTCTTGGAGAAATGAACTTCATACCATGAAGTTGTGTGTGCTGTGGGATCCCAAAGTGCTCCATACACTGCATTCCTCAGGAAGTAGGCAGAAGGGGAATGTGAATCCTTAAACTGAAGAACCAACATCATTTACAGCGAAGTGATATGAAAAACTGAAGGCCTGTGAATTTAATACCATAATCTTTTCATCCAACAGGCAGTATAACTGCATTTCTAGAAGTTCACGCTCATGGGCATTAGTGTGTTCCTGATATGTTACAATGTGCTATTCCTCTTAATTAATGCCTGTTGTGGAGGATTGTTGTGTCCTTTCTAAACATCAGAATATGCTTTAGGTGTAACATTCACAATAGAATTGACCCTGAAAATAGGATTGTATTTTAAAAAGGAGTTCTGCCAAGTCTGCCCAGATGTGTTGAATTTAGTAAACACTACAAATAATGTACTAAAAGCCCTGGCACTGGCAGGGAAATCTCTGGGAGCTCCCACTGAGCTTTTCTCTGCCTCCCACCCCCAAACCTTTAGATAAATAGTGGAGTGTGTACATTCCCAGGAGCTGTTGGTCTCACTGGCTGGGGTTATCAGCAACCTGAGAGGAGGCTCTCGGGGATGTCCTTAAATTCTGATAGTTTAATGAATCTAGATTTGTTCTTCTAAAGTCTGAGCAGCCTCTATCACCGTGATTTAATTATTAGAACAGTCTCTTTTCACGAGACAGAACTGGATGAGTGTTATGGCAGTGGAGGGAAATGCAGGCAGGACCTGCCCCTGGGCTCCCCAGTGACAGGGCTGGGAGGGAGGGGTTGTGTTCCCCGCCTTCTTCATGCTGCACAAGGCCAGGGAAGGCTCAAAAAGACATTATTTAAGTCTGTGAGGAAATACAGCTGCAACAGGAGGAATTTGCTGCTTAAGCCAGTTTCTTTTTCACAGTTTCTGTTGCTATAGCCACATTATTCCTAGTAGTAACTGCTGGAAGGGATGGCAATGGAAAAAAAATTGGCCTGTTCCTTGTGCAACAGGTGCAGTGTTCATTTGTGAGCATGGACTGAGCCGAGTCTCCCTCCCATTCCCAGAGAGTGGTGGCTCAGGCAGCCCAGGCAGCAACTGCCCCAGGAATCTGGGATTTCTGCATTTCATATCTCCTGGAAAGATGCCAAGCAGAATTTAATTGCTTGTGCTGAAATCTTTCTCTGTGGCAAGATAGGACATTGAATGCTTTTGAACTTCTAAATCGCTATGGGACAGCCTGATCCAGCCTGGTTGTGTTTAATGTACAGACAGATAATGAAAGATCCTTCTCCATCCCACTGAGTTCTTTGATGCACTTCTTTGTTTTATGAATCCCAGGCTGACTTGAGGGAGAGGAAGGGAGTTCTTGTAATAACATACACGTTGGTTTTTCTGTTTAGTAAATTGACAGGTGTTTGGTTTTTCTTGTGTCTGCCCAGGAAACCACGTCTTGTCTCCTGGAGAGGCCGTTGGAAAAGGTCTAACGCCAGAAGCTGCCAAAGAGCTGGGTCTCCCCGAAGGGATTGCAGTGGCAGCATCTCTCATTGATGCACATGCTGGAGGACTAGGTACTCACTCATGTGTTTACTATTCTTGGAGATGGGAATGTACTGAATTAACCTTAGAAAGCTGTTTTTCTCACAGCCTGTTTTTATCCAACTGATGCTATTCTTAAAAAAAATAAAGTCGTCCCAATAACTGCTAATATTGTATGTCTGTTTATAGAAAGGAGCTATCACTGTTATTTGTCTTTTCAGCTGAATTTCCCAGTTCTTGGGTTTGTATTCATATGTATCCCAGTAACTTCTGCTAGTTCCACTTTGAATTCCAGAGCCCAGATACCATTCTATTGGAATGCCAACATGCTGAGAGTTTGCATCTTCTATTGCTCAAAACTTTGGGGATAGGCAAGAAAAATAAAAAAGTAACATTCTGAGGGAGAAGCCTCATATCTGAGGCTTGTTCACAGTTCGTCTTTCTCCTTAGTTTTAGAAGTGATTCATGCTTCAAGGCTTTAAGGCCTGATGCTTAGACTTTGTTTCTTTTCCAACATCCTATTCTGATGTGCCCAGTTTCAACTATGGTAAATGTATTTGGTAGGTTCAGTGCCTTCATTTTCTTACTATGTAGTTTAGCCTTATCTTAATGCAGTCAATAACAAAGAGATTCAGTGTAACTTTTTCAGCAGGAAATTGAGGTTATTTAGTTTGATTGTTTAGAAAAAAGTCTTACCTCAGGAAGTTACAGTGTTATTGAAACAGTATTTTTCAATGGAAGTCTATTGCTCATCAGAGGATTTTTCTCTAGGTTGAACTGAAATATGATTATCTGCTAAAATACCAGTTTTGTTTCAAATATTTTGTGCTGTTTTAAGTCTCATTTGTTCTTCTAGAAGCTGGAGTCTGGAACCTTTAAAATGTTTAAATCCCTTTACTTTGCTTCTGATCACTGTTTCTGATGAGGTTTAGTAATCATGCAGATTGCTTTTCTTACCACCTCAGAGGGATTAGACATAGATCTATGTGCAAAAAGGAGGACTGAGCTTTGGGGTCATAGTTGTAGGTGTGTTGTGCCCCTACAGTTGTGACTGACTTAAAAATCTGTTTGTGTCAATTATTATCCCAACTGCATAAAAATGTGTTAAACTGTGTGCCTTGGCAGTTCTGTGTTCTTGGAAAAGGGTGTAATAATAAACTGACCTGAAATAATGAACTTGCTGCAAAACTGGGTTGTCACAGAGCACCTGAAAATGTGGCAGTGGAGGGACCTTGTTTAATTGGCGTCATGATGTGAGTACTGGATCCAGAGCACAGAAAGTTTCATGTGTTGAAATCAGTTAATTGAATTTAAAGAAGAATAGAGAGCAACTGTCCGTTCCTTTTTTTATAGACTTCTGTAAAGAAACTCTAACATTAGAAATACATAACTACTGACAGCCCTCAGAGAAGGGCGTCGGTGGATTGAGACAGTCTGCTTATGCTAGTCCTGTTTATCCAAATATGTTTTCCCAGATGGCGCCACAAACATGAGCAGACTACTGAAATGATTGCCAGGGGAAGGAAAACACAACATCCAGGTTGTTGTTAGAGAGGGAGAGGGGAATCACAGAGGGAAGAGTCAGGAAGGCAGCGGGAGAACCCACGTGGTGATCACAGGATAGCTCAGTACGGTCTGGGACAAGAGAAAGGTTGAAGGTGGAACTCATCCTTCAGTCTGGGAAGGATCATAAATAGGTAGGGAAACTAGTAGAAAAGGCAGTAAAAATGAAAAGATTTTGATAACAGAAGTGACAACAGGAGAAAAAGGAGAACTGTAGAGTGCAAATGTATGTAAAGAGAATAAACAGTGTGGCTGCACATCTGAAATGCTGAATATAAATCCTTCATCCATAGCTGTTGAGAACAAGAAATTTAAATATTTTTCAAGTTGAGTTTTACCTGCACTGTGTAGAATACAGAGCTGAAATTCCTGAAGGTAAAGCAGGAAAGCAAAAAGGAGAAGAAAGATAATATAATGAGGAAATGAAACTGTTTTGGTTAAAAGACACCAAGGATGGCAATGCACTAAATCATATTAATCTTTTAATAATGATTAAAAGAGCACAGAAGAAAAGAGAGAAGAGATATTTGAAACAGTGAAGTAAAATGTGAAAATACTGGAAATAAATATATCTTGTAGTTGATGTAAAACATCTGTTTAGGAAAGGCACTGATGTATGTTTTAGTTCTTAACCCTTCTGTGTTCTGTATTGAAATACTGAGGTTTACAATTTGTTGGAAGGATATGACCTGTAGAGTAGTAGGCATTAGGTTAGTCTGGGGGACAACAACATCCAGTGGGTGTCATTCTTCTTATTTGTGAACACATTCTGCTGGTTGTTTTAAAAATAGTTTATAACAGCAGAGTAATGAAAAGGGCTCTTTGGTGTCCTGCAGGCTAAACCAGAATGACATGATGGACATCTTGTCTTCAGTGTTAATAATTTTTGATGCAGTTCACATCTACTTTTGGCTGGATATAAAGTGCAGTTTTGTTGGGCAAACTTCAGCTCCTGAAGTTTATAAAGGCTTCAAAGTTTTGAGTAAAATAAGGTACAGATAATTTTTTAGTATTTGTGTTTGTGGAGGTCATGTGTGACTCCTGAATTGGTCCATCTGATACCTTTTATGGAAAAGTAAAAATCCAAGAGCTGAGTAGTTATGTCTTACATTTGGATGTACTGTACCAATTTAAAAGTGTACAGATAAAAATGTGAGTATGGGAGGCCAGGCTTTGGGACTGGCCTTATAAAAGTACTGTTTACATTGTACCTTTTCAAAAGACATCAACATTGTTTCAACAAAAGTAGGTAATTTATTATACAGTATCTAAAATACCTTGTCACCGTGGAGCAGATCCAGAAGTGCACATGCTAAACATTGCCTACTTTCCTAAAAATCTTGCTTATGTTTTGTGGGGTGCACAGATTTCTCGTTCTTAGTGTCTCTTAAGATACTTCAAAAGATGTTGAGTCGCTCTTGGACTATGAAAAATTCCAACTAAGTTAGAGGTGAAAGTGACTTAAAACAGCCATTACATTATTTTTAACTAATAAAATATCAAAACTTTCATTGTTATGAAAATGTTCTGGACTCGTTTGCTCTCTGACTTCAATTAATCATGAATAGGAAGACTCTTGTGACTCTAAACACTAGTAAAGCTACCCTCAAAAACTCCAAAAAGGCCCAGAATGCCTGTTTTGCAGAATGTATATTTTCTTAGAGATTAAAAAATATCTAAACATGGAGTCCTTAATTTTGTATTGTTTATGAAAATGCATTTATGACATGTGTTAACAATTCAGTTTCGTAGATTTGGTCCCTCTCAAGTGTGAACAATATTTTTAGCTCCTTTAGAAATTCTAATACAGTGTTGCTTAGTACAGGAAATTGCCTTGTAGACAACTCTATCCAAAATGAACTCATACATGTCATGTTGGAGCAGTGAAAAATAAAGCATATGAGGTAGAAGCCTTACTTTTAGCTTTCTCTTGTTCCTGACTGTCTGCATGACAGCTGTGCAATCACATAATTAAAGGATAAAGGGGCATAAGGACAGATTATGATTCCTATGATTATTGAAGACTGTAAAATTTTAGCCCCTTAATTTTCTGATTATTTAGATGACTTCCAACCATGATAATACCAGGATAACCATGGCACTCAAAGTAAGACAAACCCCAACAGACTGATTTGATAACAGAATGTTGCAGTGGTGACCTAAACAAGAAGGTGTTAATGAAATATAGGATATGAACCAGCCACAGCACTTGGCATCCTTCACAGTGTCCAGCAAATGCTTTCATGATCCTTCTACAGTGAGGGGAAAGGGGTTTTTTTGGCAGGATTGGCAAACTGGTATCCAGACTGAGCATTGCAGCTGCAGATGCAGATGCAATGAGCAGTCTGGTGACCAGTTTGCCAGTTGAAAAGTGATATTCAAGAGGAAAAAAGACAACTAAGAGAATGTTATTTGTTGGGCTGCTGCATTTTTCTGGGTGCAGCACAACGTGGTGCAAGAATGCAGCCTGGGAGAGGAGGAGGAGAGGCCGGGATTCCCACTGTAACCTCCCATGGAGTGAATCAAGCAGGATGTGATGTGTCTGAGGCTTGGCCGTAGGTTTGCCTGGCACCTCTCTGGCATCTCCTGGGTATATTTTCTGCTGCAGCCCGAGCGTTGCTGAGTTTGTCCTCTGTCCTATCCTCTCCTGCACGCAGAGGCTCCTCAGAGCCAAGCTCAGTTCCTCTAAGGGAAGGAATAATCTCCCTTTAGATGGTTTGACACGGACAGAAGAGCAGCAGCAGTGAAGACAACAAAGCTGGCAGCCTTCCAGTCTCCTGCCAAGTTACCCCTTTCTCCAACTCATCCCCTGACAAAACACATCATCTGGGATGTGCATGATAAACTGTGAACAAATAAACACATCTGCAGCCTGCCATTACAGCAGGGCACTCTTTACTCTGCATGTCAGTGTGCTACCTAAGAGAATATAGTCAGGTTATAGGCAAAATAACACTGAAAAATCATGATGATAAACATGGACACAGAAGAAATCATCTTGTGTCCTTGTATCTGGAATAAAAATTTTAATCTGATGGATAAAATAATTTTCTTTATTGACTAAGTAGACTTTCTTGATTTGTGGCAGTTGTGTCAGATTATTTAGCAGTCATTTGTGTGCAGAAGAGCTCTGTTTGGTGAGGGGTGGCTTGTTCTTTAAAAGAGAATTTTAATTTTATTTTAATAGGAGTAATTGGAGCAGATGTGAAAGGACATAACCTGCCATGTGAGAACCAGCCGATTACATCCCGAGTTGCAATGATCTGTGGAACATCTTCGTGCCACATGGGGGTAGGTTGTGTGTCCTAAATTGTGCAGAATATACTAACTTATGTTTTTGAAGGGAAAAGTGACCTTTGTCCTTCTCACCCAGTTCCTTTCCCTTGAATTTTTTCTGGTAACTCTATCTTTTCCCTCAGATATTAATTATAAATTACCGTGCATTTGCTATTAGGCAAGAACTTTAATAGTAGTAGAAATCAATACTGAAAAATGACATGGAAAGTAAAAACCACGATGCCAGAGTGGCTTAAAGAGCAGCCTGAAATCTGAGCCAAAGACTCTGAGCCTGAGTTATCTGTGACAAGCCTGTCACTAATGTGTTGCAGAATAGTGGCTTTGGAGAAGGAGTGCACGTCTTCAGTCACAGCCCTTCTCCCCCACCTCTTCCCTGAATCAATATAAATCCTTCTTCCTCTGAAAATTGCCATGATGTATAGAAGTATGATACTTATCATGACTAAAAAGAAGGAAAACCCCCAATAAGCAGTTTTCACGTTGCTAATTTTTCTCAGTGAATTAATACAAAAGCTTTCTCTGAGATTGCAATTAAAATTTAGTGTCTGCTTTTGAAATTTATGCCGTTTTAAAATGTATGAGTCTGAGAGCATTCCATTTAGATAAGTACCCTTTTCTGCCACATTTTTTATTTAAAACTCATTTTGGTCTTAAATTTAGACTGATTATAACTTGGATTTTTCCAAAAGGAGCAAATGGCACGGGGAGTGCTAGAGGTGTTAGAGAGGACTAACATGCTTCATGGAGAAAGCGGCAGGAGAGACAAAGAAAGGAGGCTGATAATAAAACATCAGGCATAACAGTAAGTTAAGTTGTCTCTGTAGTGACAGTGTGAATCCATGGTGATCTTGAGCATGAATAAATGGTGATCTTGTCACATGGATTGTCGTTCTGCAAAGCATTTTAGCACATGATTGAATTTAAAGACGTGAATAATCCCACTATTGTGAAGCAGAGCATTGAACAAGAGCTTAAATCCTGTAGGCAAACTGGAATATATTTAGGGTCCTTCCTAAGCAAAAGTTTCAAACCTCAAACTCCATCACTTTTGACTTGCTCTATCTCTGAAAAATTCCACTGGTACCTCTGTGTCTGTCACAGGGCAGGTGGGGCACCTGCAGATACCAGCCCTGGGGGAAGGAGTCACCCTTTGAGCCTGCCACTACTTTCATTACTTCCAGGTTTTTTGCTGGAGGTTTCTGCCCTTTCAGTAGAAGCTGTTTGAGTGAACTCTTCCTAACCTGTTTCATTTAGCTGAGTTAGTTTAAATTGTTAAAATTAGTTGAGTTAATAGAGACATAATACTGGACTGAAATGAGCTGAGGAGCTCGCAGACAGTTTCCCCCAAAGGTCTAAGGGCAGCCTTGAGTAGCTGGCAATGGGCCACCTGGCTCCAGCTTATTCCTTTAGGACAACCAGCCCTGTAGGAGCACATGTATGTGGTTATTTATTAATTTTTAATATTTGTATATTAGTAAGTTCTAACTAGACCCACTTCACAAGTATAGATTATTTTGCTTCCCAGACTAGAGCATGGCACATCAGCATTGACAGTTCCACAGCACTTTTTGTGTTCATACTCCACAACCATGAGAGATGTGGCTCCATTAAATATGCTAATAGAACAAAAGGGACTTGAGAAAGTCCATGGCAATTTTCTGTCATTAAAGCAACCCCGAAGTCAAACACAGACTGCACAAGTTAGAACCTTTTAAGGCTCTTAATCACTTCAATGCAAACTCAGGAATAGATGCTTGTGCAGTTTTTGGCTAGATTTAAGTGGATCTTTATTTAAATGTAACTACTCAGCATTTTATAATCATTTCCTTAACTGCCTTCCTTCACTCATCTGCACAGAGGTATAACAATCTGTAGCCACCAGACAATAAGTAAGTTCTAAACTTCTCTGGATTCAATCTGTGAAAGGACTTTGGTTTACTGTTCTTTTATCTATTACCTGCACAGGCTGCATGAAGTGAATGTACAGCACACAGAGCAGTTGTATTTGTGTTTTAATGAGACCTATATGCAGCTGCATTTGGCTGAAATTAGCTGTTCCTTTTTTTAATTAGGGCTATAAAATGAAAGTATATTATACTTGTGTTTTGATAGAAATATATATTTTCTCTCTCTGTGTGCACCAGGGGACCCTCAGGGCAACAGAGATTAATCATCGAGTTTAATTTAATGCAGTGGGAGAGAGACCTGTGTGGTCAGGCGGGCACTAAAAAGTGCCTTTGATGTGCCTCAGGTGCACTGAGCCCCAGTGAACCAGCAACAATAATACCTTTGTGAGATGATCAGAGAGGAGAGAGGGAGAAAATGGCCTGTGTGGAAACTCAAGGCCGTCCTTTGTTGTGGTTCTGGCAAATGAAGGAGCCAACTGTCAGGAGAAATTCAGCAAACAGAAAGCAGGGAGAAAGTACGGCTGGATTTCTTTCAAGGGACCGTAACAGGAAACTGTTCAAAATCATCTGCTATGCCTTTCTTTCCCCCCCTTCCTTCTTTTTTGTGAGGGCAGTGGTACTGCTGTTGGGGTGTGTGTGTTGCTACAGTAGTTCCATTCTCTACACCAAATGCTCCATGAGTCACAGGAGCAGGTATTGCTTGAACACAGCATTTACTTTAAACTTTGAGAGAAACTACTCCTTGACCCAGTTTTCGTTACCTCCAGGACTCTAGAGATCTTAAACAAAAGACTTTACTAACCATACCTTTGATATTTTAGAAAGTACAAATGTGGAACCTAATTTTACTCATGGCTATAATAGTTTAATTTGTGGTACAACTACCATTTTTAAGTGAGGATACGCTTTTGGAATTAACCACTGACAGTTTGGGGTAATCACACACACACACACACACGAAGAATTTTGTGTTTCTTTGAGATACTTGAATAGCTCATGAAAGCAGCAAAATGCATGTTGTAATTAGGTTATTGATCCCAGTCCAGGTCTGAGTTGTTAGTTGCTCAAAATCACTGCCACCTCAAGGCTCATCATTATCCATGAGGAAAAAGAAATGAAAAGATGGTCTTCTGAATATTTTTGGACAGTTATTCATTTTACATGATTCTCTGCTGCCTCCCTTGCCCTAGCAAAAGTCATGGACAGAATTTGCATGTGGAATGGCAAATAAGCTGTCCTTGCACTTGTCCTTGTCCCTTGGTTTGGGGCTGGGATTCATCCCTGCAGGTTTGATCCACGGGTATTCCACTCCAGTGATGGACACTCACAGATGACTTTTCCGAATGGCCTGCTTCCATTATGCTTTGCAGACAGGGTCTCTGGGCTCCAGCACCCACACTTAGCTTTGGAACTTTTTAGCCTTTCCCTGTGCAGCCCTAGCGACTGCACAAAATGTGTGAGTAGTTTTTCCCGGCAAAATAGCAGCAGGTTCGAGGCCCTGAAATAGGAGCTCACATGTCACTCCTAACTCATAGTTTGCAAGGGTCTAAGAGACATGCCCTAACTTTTTGGAATAAGGTAATTGGTTTCCCTAGAAAAATGCCAGTGTCCTAGGGTTTTATGGGATGTTTTAAATGTTTCAAAATTTTTTTTTGCTTCTGAAACCTTGATGTGATCAGGAGGATTTCAGGCTCAGGTATCTGTATTCCCATATCCCAGCCCTGAACGCAGGCGTGTTTGCCCTTTTATAGATGTGTAAGACCACCAAGAATTGAGTTAACTCTCAGATGCAAGTTAGCAAAAGCTGAAAAGTAACAGGGACAAGCAGTGTGACAGGGGACTTGGACACAGAAATTTTCCAGTATTCCTTGTGGCAAGTAATCTGGCAGTACTGCTGCTTCTGTCAGGTTTTAAACCAAAAGAGGGTTGATTTAGACTAGATCTTAGGAAGAAATTTTTTACAGTGAGAGTGGTGAGGCCCTGGCACAGGTTACCCAGAGAAGCTGTGGCTGCCCCATCCCTGGAAGTGACCAAGGCCAGGTTGGACAGGGCTTGGAGCAACCTGGGCTAGTGGAAGGTGTCCCTGTCCATGGCAGGCAGTGGAACGAGATGGCCCCTTAAAGGTCCCTTCCAACCCAGACTGGGACCTTCATGCGGGACAAGGAGAATGTGCACACAGAGCTACAGGATCCAGGCATATCAAAGAAGAGAAAACTGGGATTTTCTTTTGCAGCACCCCATCTTCTCTTTTGTGTCTATTTTGTGGTGAATCTCAGTTAGAGAACAGTGTTCTGCTGTGTACTTGTCCCGGAACAGTTGTAGCATCATGAAAATATTTGTTGTTCTTACTCTAAAACCTTTTGTGATTCACAGCTGAAGGAATTAGCAGGACCATCTTCCAATGGGAACACTGTCTGGCCTATTTTCAGCTTACTGAGGGGGGGGGGCAGTGTCTGAATTTGATGGTATTTTGAGTCCCAAATACAGAAGGTTTGTGCTACTTCCTATCCAGAGTCTCTGATATTTTTTTCTGTCTTCATCTGGGGATGTGGTCTGTGTTCTTCTTTAGTCATTCCTTCTTTATCAGCTCTCAACACTTCTTTTTGGGGATTATCAGGGAACCTTTTCAAGTTTAGGTGTAGTCTCTTTTGCATCTGTTTTTGTTATTTCTCTAACTCTTGACATTGGGAATGGACTCACCTGGCTTGGTGCACAGTTCTTTTTTCCCCAGGTGATATTGTATATGTGGTTTGAAGTGTATAATTTAGTCATTTTTTAAATTGGAGAGGGACGAGTAATTTATCTTCTATCTTTTTAGATTTACTGTATGTTCTAAAAGACAGAGCAACTACACAAATAGCAAAATGGGCAGATCACTTTGCTGTCCAAGTGTTTACTATTTATAATTTCAGGAAGAATATCCCATACTCTCTTTCACTAAGCCTGACCAGCCTTTGAGTGCTTTTTGCTAAAGGAACTTCAGCCCATTTTGCTTATTCTAAATTTGCTCATTTGATTCTCGTGATGACTGGCAAACACAATAGAGCTTCTTTGCTCCACAATATCCGCCTGAGCTGCCAGCTTTGT